TAATAGGACGTTAGGTGAGAAGAGAGCTGTGATGGAAACAGATCCTCCCTCCTCTCTCCCCTGGATTTTGAAGGAAAGACACAGGTCAAAAAACTGATGCTTGTTTTCAGCATGCAAAAGTATCATTGTGAAGTTGTTCTGGTAGTTTTAGAACATGTTTTTGGAACAAGAAAAACTCAAGGTAGGTGTCATAGGGGAGCAGCTGTGTAATTCACCTCAGGGTCGTGGCTGTGGAGGCATGCACCCAGCTGAATAGTTTTGGCTGTTGAAGTTTATCCCTCTGAAAGCAGTTAGCCTGCTCCTAGGCAGGCAGGTTTGCATGATCAGGTCCATCATCACAGATCAAAAAATCCCACAGGAAGCTTCTCAGACATGGGCATTGGGCATCTGTCATTTTCTCCCTCTTCCTTCTCTTTTTGCTTCCTCTGTGCCCTCCCCATTCCAAAATTGGAAACAGATGTGTTATTCTTTAAACACTGGGCTCTCAAATAGTAAAAGCATTGATAATAGCTTTTACTGAAGCCAAACACATTAAAAAAAAAGCTTCACTGGTCACTGCAGAGAGGGCTCAAGCTGCCCACTTGCATGCTGTGTGTTGTTGTATGTTATATACCACCCCCATACAGATGGGAGCAGCTTCACTTTCCCTGTCACATCATATCTTTGGCTTGAAGTCAGTGAAGCTGTTCCTTAAATATTCAGTATTGCCTCAAACCAGGCCCATGTCAGAACATGCGCATTACATAATATTTTCAATCCTTAAATCAAATGTATGTGGACCTTGCATTCACAAGCTGTGCTGAACTGACAGCAGCAGCAATGAGTGAACCCTGCTTTTATTAATAGAAGGGATGAAATGCTGGCAGCTGCAGTGGCAGCTCTCCACGCTGCAGTGTAGGGATGGTTTTGTGGCTTTTTGGTAGCCAGTGTGCAAGGCACGGCGTTTCTCCTCTGGGCTGAAAAGCTCCAGTGTGGAGCCACGTTCCTGGAGTCCTTCCCCATCCAGAATCAGGGCTGCAAGGCAGTGCCAGCCTGGGGCTTGCCGTTGCCTTTGCTGCCCTCTGGGAGCCTGGCCTCTAGTTGTGGCTTCCCAGCTTTGGCAACAAAAATGTCCTCAAATGTCCCCCCCACTTTGGTCTTCTTTTTCTTTTTTTCTTGTGTTTACCCTGCACAATGTGGTGTCTTCATCTGCCTGGCTCTGCCTGCAAAGCAGTTTGTGCTTTGGCTCGCCTGGCTTATGTTGCATAAATTACGGAAGTTTTCATTTAGTTTAATTTTAAAACAAAACAAAATTGGCAAGGTCTCTTGTCAGGCAGATCATCTCCCCAGTCTGTTCCTCAGGCGGTGGAACAGGAGTGAGAATTTGCTCAGTGGAGAGCAAGGCAGGAATCCCTGCCGAGCCCCTTGGGCCATGATGCCACAGCCCTCGGGAACCTCATCCATGGAGTTACAAGGTCAATGCAGCTGCTGGGATTTTTATTTTTGATGTGTTTTTTTTTGGAAATGATGCACTGAGGAATTTATTGGTCTTTCATATGTGTTCAGTTGATGCAGCTGAGACATATTTTCAAGGCCAAAAAAATGCAGAAGAGCCAGCAGTGCTCCAAGCAGGTAACCTCCCCTTGCTGAGCCTTTCTGTGCTGAGCATGGCTCTGAAGAGCAGGCATGGCTAACACGAAGTGGTGAAGGGGGCTTATCTCTGTGTGCTTGGTCACAAATTCAAGGCTGCCCTTGTTGCTCAGATATACCACAGCTTTTACATCTGGCAAGGAGAGCATGTTTCCCAGATGAGACTTGAGTTGGCTGATTGCTGGAGAGCAGACCACCAGTGAGTCTCTTCATGAAGCTGGTTTCACATCCATGGGCTTTGAGGTGCAGTGGCTGGAATCAAAGAGAGTTTCAACTCTTGGTATATTCTTTGGAAGGAAATGGAGGAGCAAAAGCATATTAGCAAGTAACAATAGAAAGAGCAAAACCTGGTAGGGATTGAAAACAACACACAAGCACCTAGAACCAGATGTTGCACTGTTTTACAGAGTTTGCATAAGTGCTACCATACAGTGTGTGCGTGCGCCTGTCAGCTTCCTTGTGCCTTCTTGGCACAGATCCTGGAGCACAGATATGCAAAGGCAGTCTCTGCCCGGAAGAATTGCACTGTAACTGGATGTGGCTGGAGGAGGCAAAGGGCACTAGGGCATGTATTGGATTGTTTGAGATTACACTGTGGAATAAAACAGTTCCTGTCCTGCCTCTAGTGCTCTGCCTGTTGGGCACCAATATCATAATGGAGCTTTTTTTGCTTATTTACTGTTCTCTGTGAAACTCGATGCTTTACAGGTGTTGATTATTTAAGCTTGGAGTTGACTCTGATAAAGAAATGTTATGATAATTTTTCATATAGAAATTACTTCAAATGTGACCAGAGATAGCATAGCAAAGGAAGATAGCATAGGCAAAAGCAAGATCTAGCAAATCAGTTTTTGGTATAATGTAATTAAATGAGGCTTAAACATAAAAAGCATTAATTCAGTTTTTGTGGTATGAATTGGTTTGGGTTTCTTAAGAAGCAGTTGAGAAAATACAGAATAAAATGGTGAACTCCTGGTCCTGTTGATATGAGTGGGAGCTTTGCCACTGAGCAAGGCTCGAGTTCCTCCAGCCTTTTATCTGCAATGAGGCTTAGCTGCCCACCCTACCCACGTCACTCTTGCTGCTGCTTTCCCTCCTTACTCACCATGCAGCTTCCTCTGGTCCTGGATGTGTCATTGAAGTCACATCACCCCAGCACTGGGGGAGGAGTGGGGTGAAGTAATGCTACTGCCAGAATCTGGGCCTAACTCGCATCTTGATTTTTATTCATCGTTTGGTACAAAAGTCAGAGGTGTTCTCTGGTGTCTGCTGTCTTAATCCACTGAAATAAGACTGGCCATGTGTTTAATTTTAACCACATGCTTCAGTGCTACAGTGTCTTGAGTCTGAACAGGCTGAATTTAGTGCTTTTACTCTGCCTTTGCTATTATTATTAAAGCTGGATGTTGCAGCCAGTACTTCTATGTAGTTTTTTTCCTTCTGGAGAAAGAGAGAGGAATTTACTATCAACAAGGCTGCTAGCGGTTAAATTGGTCTGTGCTAGACTTGGCAGAGCACATCTGCTGTGACTAGAGTGGGCTGAGTGAAGGGGGTCCCAAACTTTCCTGCTGCTTCTGATTGTCTGCAGATAATTTTGTGCAGGACTGGGGAGTCATTTCAGCAGCACATCTGTTCCTGCTGTGGACCTGATCCTGCATGCTTTCCACATGCAGTTTCTCTTGGAAATTATAAGCATGCAAGGCTGCAACATTGGTCCTATCATGACAATTTCCTGGCAGAGAGAAAAGAAACTATTTTTAAATGAAAGCTTAGAATCAGAAGAATATTGCAGAGTGCAGCAAAAAATTGTGTCAAAACCCTGAAATCATGGACTCGGCAGTTTCCTCATGCCAGTGGTTTTCTTCTCTTCATGGTTTAAAGGCTATGTTTTTGGAGGACTGGGCTGAGATTTTTCTGAGAGACATTTCTACTCCCCCTGGTACACATTATCATAGCAGCACTGTCTGTGTGAGTCAGGCTGGAGAGGGGGGATGTGCTGTATTCACAGGGGTGGGATTTCGCAAAAACCCGTAGTTCTGCTGTGCACACAGTCAGAGTGGTTCTCTTTTAAGTTTGCCCAAGATTTCATTATCCCTCTTCCCCACCCCCCATATTGGTTTTATATTCCTACCTTGGTGTACCTTTTAAACTTTTCCTTCCAAGTTTCATTGCTCAGTGGTCCTTGGGAAAAGCAAATAAGAGAAAATGCGTGACTTCTTCTTAGCACAGGAAAATTATGTCCTCTTTTCCCCATCACTTGATTTTGTATAGATTAAGAATGACCCAAAGGGCTCTTGCTCAGATTTTCATTTAAAACAAACCAACTGATTAGATTCGAGATCATTATTTCCCCCAAAAGCACTCTCAGAGTGATTTGAACATGTGAAAACAGGCAGTTTATAACCACAATTGTTTCCCTGCCTTTGATAGAGTGGTCACTAGTCAACAAAGGTAAAATTCACTGCCTCAGAGGGAGATGCTTTAGTTAATTAGTTACCATCAGTGTTGTGCTAAGAGACTCACTGCTGCTTGCCCATATATTTGCTTGCTAATCTCACTGGCTGGCTTTGCTGATCCCAGTCCACTTGTTGTGCTGGATTCCCATATATTCCCTGTGAGGAAGTGGCCTAAACCACATTGGCACAGGGGAGACAATGAGCATCATCTTCTTTGGCCATTTTCTGTGCTCTGGAAACCTGAGGGGCTGGGTAAAACCTACTTCACAGGTTTTGCTTTTCTGCTAACATGAGGTTTTCCAAGCCTAGTCTGGGCTCAAGAAGTGGAATTTTGGTTGCACATTTTTGATACTGTTTTTTAACAATATTTTTCCCCTTTTTTCTTCACCCACATGCACATTTGCATGCTCCTGCAGTGCTTTGTGCATTATCTGACTGCCTCCTTCCTCATTCCAAGAGGTGGATTTCCCTGCCACTCTCTGATCAGGAGCATGCAGCTTTTGGTGCTGCTCTGCATTGTCCCCACTGGTCTTTTTTTGGGGCTGTGGGGTTTCGGCATCCTCCAAAGGCTGCCAGTCAGTAGCTGTGGTCCTGGCCTCGGCATACCAGCTCTGCCGGTGGTGCTGAGATGGGCCAGCCTAATGCTGCCCACACACCATATTTGCAGAAACATGTCTCCTGCAGGCCTTTGTGGGCTTGTCTGCGGCCTGGGTATGTCACACCTCACCATGTAAACCACCAGGCAAAGTTCAGCCTGGTGACGAGCAACACACAGGATCCTGTCCTACCCTGTACTGTTTGCATATGTGAGGTTAAATGGAAGGAAAAAACAACCCAGCGTGCCTTTCAGTTTGCAAACTTGGGGGAGAGGCAGCTGAAAAGCCTGGCATTTACCCAGCTTTTGCTTTTTTCCAGGCGACCTGGTGTCTCGAGCAATGCATCACCTCCAGCCCCTCAATGCCAAGCAGCACGGGAATGGGACACCAATGCACCAGAAGCAGGGATCGTTCTACTGGGAGCCAGAGGCTCTCTACACCCTTTGCTACTTCATGCACTGTCCACAGATGGAGTGGGAAAACCCCAATGTGGAGCCATCAAAAGTCACGCTGCAGACCGAGAGGTAAGAGCCACCGCACCGTGCTTTATGTTGTGGTGAAGACGTTTTGTTAATAAATCAGCCCGGCTGGCTAATTGCTAATTACAGCTTGCGCGCGAGAGGCTGCAGAGCAGTCTGGTTTGGTTTAGGATCACCTCTTTGAAATCCGTTTCTCTCGCTGAACTGCTGCATGGCCGAACCAATATATATCAAAAGTGACACCCAGTGGCTACATACAGCAAATTGGTTCCAGATGTGCACTTGAGAGAGATTTCCTTTTCCTTTCGTTGTTGCTCAGCTATTCTGTGTTTTGGAAAAGAAAATGAGAACTTCTATTTCTGGCCTAGCAGGTTTGGGTTTAAATGTGGGGTTTTTTTCTGCGTGCTAATATGGCTCAGCAGCTGTGATTGGGGAAGTGGAAAATGAATAGGGTGTAGTGTGTAGAAAGGAGAAGTCATTAAAGATAGTGGGCTCCAGCCGCACTGAGTACCCGGGCACAGGAGTAACCTCAGGGCTGCTCTGGCCAGGGACGTGGCAAGTTCCAGCTGTGCTGCTGTTGTCCCTGCTCTGGGGATGGCCAGGGCAGGGGAGGCACACCTGGAGCCCTGCCATGACTCAGGGTCTGATGTAAGGTGAGAAGGAGGTGCCACTGAAACTGGCAGGCAGGTGCCATAGTGCAGGGCAGCTCTGCACCCAGGCACTGCAGAAAGCAACCAGGACAGATTGCTGACCAAGAAAATAAATCCATGTCCTCTCAAAAGCCCAGCAAACCCTCTAGTAACACAGGTCTCAGTGTGCTGTTTCCCTGCCACACTTCTCACCAGCTGTAAACCAGGCATCCCCAGGATGGATGAGAGGAGTGGCTGGTGCTGGTTGGTTGGAAAGTGATGGATATTAGTTTTTAGGATGGGTATTGTGGTGATGCAAATGCAAGCTGATTTGTCAAGTTGGGTTCCACATTTACATCCCAATGTATGTATTGGGGTGTACGTGTGAGCCAAACTCTGATGTGCACGTGTGCCCCAAGAGCTGTGCATGTGTGGCTTGGTTATTGTTTCAGTGTGAGGTCTGCATCTCAAAAGCAGCATTTGAGGATGTCATTGTATGTGTAGCTGTAAATGGTATATAATATGATATCTAAATTGACATACTTTTGTATCACTCACAGAAGACCATACCAGATGAAACCCTGGTATTAATGATGTTACTGGGAATTTTGCCATTTGCCTTTGGATGGCATTTTGTTTCCTTTCAAGTTTGGGTCTCTCCATGAGCATGTTTGTCGCTTTTTGTTCTGTTATTTCCAAAGAAGGAAAAAAAACCAGAAGGGAAATGACAAGAATCCAGAATTTTATTTTTTTCTTCTAAATTATTTTTAATTTCATGATTTGATTTGTCATCCAGCCTTGCTATTGTGGAAGGCTTAACTCGTGTCCAAGAGTGGTTAGTATGCACAAAAAAAATTTTAAAAATTAGAAAATACCTTCACCTGATCTATAGTCTCCATCTGTGGGCGTAATGCCACTGGAACCAGAGGGAACGTAGGAGTGAATAATGCCGAGCCTCTGGTTTTGTAAGACTTCTTCAGACTTCCCTGTGCAGAAGTGAAAAGGGCAGGAATATTTTAACACTTGCTTTAATAGGTTTTCCTTTCTCTGAGGTCGCCTTAATACAAGTCCTGTTCCTTAGAGCACTTGACATGCTGATTATTTAAAGCGATCGTTCTTTGCTTTATTTTGAATACTCCGTCTGGCAGGATGTCTTCCTTTGGCAGGGCAGCGTAGTGCCTGCGGCGTGCGGTGAGGGCCGGAGCAAGTACTCAGTGTTATTGCCAAGAGCTTGTGGTCACTTTTGGAAGGAGCAGATACGTCTCCTGTTGCCTAATCAAACATGCGTTAGTACTTAGTGCTGGAGTGGGAGCGACGCGGGGCTAAGTGTGAGCCCGGATATTTCCATGGAGCTGAGTTCTGGGCATTTAATCAGCTGGATGTAACCATCCTGTACTGCTCAGAAAGGACAACAGTGAAGCTGACTTCTCTTTAGTGCTCTGAGGAGCTTTACTGCTCATTTCCTACCTTTTGTTTTTTACATGCAGGTTTGCTTTGTGGTCCATGACTTAATTCTGGTGGTTTCGGTTTCCATGACGGGTTTTTGTGCGTTGCAGGGAAATGGGTTTGTTAAACATGGCACACTTATATGCAGAAGATTTGCAAGAGTTGTGGCGTATCTGTGTGACATATTCCCTCTCCAGCTGTGGCAATTGCTTTTATTTTGGAAGAAGCCCAGAAGGAAGCAAGGAGGTCCAGGCATCTTTCCCCATCCTTGGCCTTTCTTGTGTCCCTGCTGGTGCAGAGAATCCAGGACTGTATGGATCTGGCTGTAGGCAGTATTTTCATGAAATAGGGGTTGCCCTTGGCTCCTGTGAAGCCAAGCTGGCTACTGACTTGGCCCCCTTCTCCCTGATAGTGCAGGCCCAGGATGGAGAGGGTTGTGGGATGCAGTCAGAGAATTTTGACAGCAGTTGCAGGGCTTGGTGGCATCATAAGACCATCCCATTCTTCCCACCCAACGCCAGCCCACCTGGATTTCGGCTGAGGTAGGGAGCTGCAAAGGCTCTACACGTCCTTCTGCAGAAGCTGGATATGGGAGAGGAATCCAGCATGGTGGCATTGCTCCCTGGCTTAGCACTTTCCAGCTCAAAAAGCAGTACCTCCCTCAGAGTCTTGGGGGACACATAAAATGGGATTTTTACCTTTGAATAAATCCAGCACTTTGTTTCTAGGGAGCCTTTCTCTGTGTTTACTCTTCATGGAGGTAAAGAAATGAGAATGCGGTATGTTTTAAGAGTGTTTGTCTTTACATAAAATAAAAGGGAAAAGTTATATAGCAAAACTTGTTGCAGGGGGGAGTCAGCTTTCATGGGAGGGGGAGGAGGTGGAAAGAGGCCAGGTTTGCTCAGAAAACGTGAAAAACATTCCCCACCTTCTAAATGCCAACAAACCCAACTATAAGATGGATGTGTGATCCCCTCCCGCCCCAAATTCATATTCTTTCAATCTGGTCACTTTGGCAGAAACTCTCTAAATTTTTGGCACCAGCACAAGCCAGTTCTGCTGAAAATGGGTACCATGTAGATGGCTATTTTGGCAGGCATGGAGGTATGGAGAAGGGGTGGACCTGTTTGTGGAGTCCCCCTTCCCTAATGCACCCAGCCAGGATGTGATGGAGCCATTTATCTTGTGCTGGGTGTTTCGTACAAAAGCAGTGCTCCTCCAGTGCCTCCACCTGCAGCGGGTGCGAGTTATTTAGGTTTGTTCATTCTTTTGCTTTCCCAGGAATTAAAAAAAAAAAAGAGAAGGAACTGTAGATGAGGCTGCTGTTGCCAAGATTTCTTTCTTGCTTGCTGCTTCTAGTTTAATAAAAAGATCTGTCCCGTGGTTGTGTTTTGCTTCTCAGCCTCTGTAATGCTTCTAAAAATATTGCAAGTAATTTCTTGAGCACCGGAAAGCGCAGAATCTGTAGTTGCAGATTTGTGTCATGTTTTTTTCCTTAAGTGGTTCCTTACCCACTTTTATCCACAGCTGTATTGACAAAGTCCTCATTACTTCCTAACTTGCCATGTTCCCCATTAACAACTCATTGAGGAGCTGCAGCTCAGCAGCTCAGCCGGTCCAGAACCACCCATTAATTCTGCTCACAGACAGCAGAGTTCCTTCTCCAGTGCTTCCTCTGCTGCTGCACCTTGCAGGAGGGTTAACTCCTTGTACCACCTGGCAGCCATTAGCTTTTCTCCTTGCATCTTAATTGAGTTGATGGATACGTGTCTGGTTTTAACCTTCTTTTTACTTTTCCTTAAATACTATTCCCTATATGTGGAGCAATCCCTTAGGAAACTCCCATGGGCTATTATTGCTTGCTTTTTATCTTTCTGCCTGCCTTGCACGCTCACATGGACACACACACAAAAAAATACGCGTCCCTGCATGTGTATATGTGTGCAAATTGTAGCCTGGAATCATTTGTGATTGATGGAGAGAGTTTGAGTTATCTGAATTTTGTTTCGTGCTCTGGATAGTTATTAGTGTACCTGGCTAATTAATGTGATGCAGCCCCCTTAATGAGAGGAGTGTTCCACTGCTATAAAAAAACTTGAACTCTTTCAAAACATTTTTGTAATTGCTACAGCCGTGTCTGCAGTACAGATTATACCCATAGGACAGTTTCAGTAAAAAGATCACTAGGGAAATGTGTCCCTGATCTAAATTATGTTATGGTACAAACTCCATGGATAGGGCAGTCTTCAGCAAAGACCACAGAGAGTGGAGAGAATGGTGGGTAATGCTAATGAGAAACAGGTAAAGCACTGGGAATATGGAAGTTCTGCTATGAAACCTGAATGAACCTGTATATGCAGAAGGGATTACATATGCTTGATGTGCCAGTATGCCATAGTCCCATGTAACCCTATCTGTTTTTATCCACTGTTTAATTGGAAACTTCACATGATAAAGCCGTAGCCTTGCTGAAGTCAAAGTTAAGACTAGAGTTGATTCGACTGGGAACTGAAAAGAAATCCAAATACATCCTTATATAAATCCTCTAGGTTTGCATCCTAAATATCAAACTTCCCTTTTTAAAAATCCCTTCAGCAATGGTATTGGCAGCTGCCTGCAGCGTGTGAGACAGCACATGTCACAAGAAATAGTTCAGGCAGTATTTGTAGCTCGGCTATTACACTGCATATCCTTGCTGGGCTGGGGTTGTATTCTACATCTAATTTATCCAGCTGGACTTAGGATGTCCATGGGATGGCTATAGGATTTTTTAAATAGAGAAAATTGTGTGCAGCCCTGTGATAACAGCATGGTATCCAGGCTGTCCTGTGCTGCACTCCGAATGCTGGTGTCCCCTCAGGGATTTATGCCACTGCCAGTAGTGTCAAATCTGATGTCAAAACTGCCAGTGAAATATCTCCCCGTTGTGGTTGCTGGCTGAGTCATCACTTTGACTCAGTTGTGTTTCAA